CATGGATAGACACACCGCGACACCCACATATCCCCACTCCCAGCCTGGGCTCCCCTGAAATGTGCATCTGATACTGCTCAGTCGACACCTGGCATTATAAGATCATAGATAGTCCAACATTTCAACCAAGTTTAATGTTTATGCCCCAGTCTTTGTTATCTCAAGTCGAGGTTTCCCAAACACCGTGGTTTAGATAAAACAATAAAACACGTTTTTTAGTGAGAGAGTGAGAGATTTTTAGTGGTAAAGCACAAAAGTTAGAATTGGATAGAAAAGAAACAAAAAACTAAAACCTCAAGTTAATTCCTAAACTTTACCAATCTACTTAAGATTTGTAGCCAATATCCCTCTCACCACACCAGATGCTGCAGGCAGTTCTCAGTTCACGGGCAGGATTCTCTTTCATTCTGAGACTAATCCTCTTAGTTCAATGTTTTTCAAGTATTCATTGATGTTAAAAGCAGAGAGAGATAAGGAAGACAGTAGAGGTGGTTACAGGCCCTTTTGTCCCCCTTCTTATACCCCAATTATTGTGTGCTGGAAATACCTTTGCTGGGTCCTGTCGATAGGCAGTATGTGAAAATCAAACTGTCTTTCAGCTGTTTTGTAAATTTCCTGTTGAGAACTCCCCAGTTGGTCAATCTCTGATTAACCAGGGGATGAATCTTAAGCATGTTGCTGGCATGCCAGTCTGTTCTTGTATCTGAGGAACTGGCTTATGAGTACTACACAGTAGTTAAAAATATTTTAGTAATAATCATACAGCAAAATCTCATAATTTCACATGCAGTGTTTGTTACACACATTTCAACAGGATAATAATATTCATCAGATTATGAGTTTCCAAATGATACCTCACAGGGCATATTTTGTACAAAATAGATCATAGCCATATAAAAGTGGTGAATACGGGGTACAGGGTGACACAGCTACCCTTCCCACGTCCTCCTGTTTCTCTGGCTTCAGGGGAGAGGGGATGGAGGCCTTTTCTTGATCCTTTGCCTGATGTCTCG